GGGCCTTGTTTACGGGTCGGCAGCGGGGCGGTTGGTGCGCGAGCCCGCAGAGGCCAACGGATACTTAACCGATGGATATTCCATCCTGTCTTTTCGTGGAGGGGAAGGTGGAAGAGAGGTAGTCGGCTGGGGCTTCGGGAAAGGTTTTAATTTGAATCCCGACGTGGAGAAGGTATCGCACCGTACTTCCATCTAGTCGGGATTTTTGTTTTAATGCCGCCATGATACTAGGTTTAGGGGAAATTGGGGCGGGGGCGTTTTAACGAAATATCTGCAGCAGTTAAGGGAGAGAGAACTGGATGTTAATCTCAGAAAGCACTTTCGATTCTCTCATCCCGTTTGGGTTGCCGTCTTGACTGAGGAATTTTGTGTTCAATGATTAACTTAACGGTTAGTCTAGTAATTGGGGGAGGTTTGTGACAGTCATTAACGCAGTTAAGAATAATAAACTGTTGGTTGTAAAGAATTGATTAGCTATGAAAAACAGTAAAAAAAAATCCTGAGGTGAAACACTAATGTTTTACTTTGTAGGTCAAAATGCAGATTTTCGTGAAGACCCTGACCGGTAAGACCATCACCCTGGAGGTGGAGCCCAGTGACACCATCGAGAACGTGAAGGCCAAGATCCAGGATAGAAGGCATCCCCCCCCTGACCAGCAGAGGCTCATCTTTGCAGGCAAACAGCTGGAAGATGGCCGCACTCTCTCTGATTACAACATCCAGAAAGAGTCGACCCTGCACCTGGTCCTTCGCCTCAGAGGTGGGATGCAGATCTTCGTGAAGACCCTGACCGGCAAGACCATCACCCTGGAGGTGGAGCCCAGTGACACCATCGAGAACGTGAAGGCCAAGATCCAGGATAAGGAAGGCATCCCCCCTGACCAGCAGAGGCTCATCTTTGCAGGCAAACAGCTGGAAGATGGCCGCACTCTCTCTGATTACAACATCCAGAAAGAGTCGACCCTGCACCTGGTCCTTCGCCTCAGAGGTGGGATGCAGATCTTCGTGAAGACCCTGACCGGCAAGACCATCACCCTGGAGGTGGAGCCCAGTGACACCATCGAGAACGTGAAGGCCAAGATCCAGGATAAGGAAGGCATCCCCCCTGACCAGCAGAGGCTCATCTTTGCAGGCAAACAGCTGGAAGATGGCCGCACTCTCTCTGATTACAACATCCAGAAAGAGTCGACCCTGCACCTGGTCCTTCGCCTCAGAGGTGGGATGCAGATCTTCGTGAAGACCCTGACCGGCAAGACCATCACCCTGGAGGTGGAGCCCAGTGACACCATCGAGAACGTGAAGGCCAAGATCCAGGATAAGGAAGGCATCCCCCCTGACCAGCAGAGGCTCATCTTTGCAGGCAAACAGCTGGAAGATGGCCGCACTCTCTCTGATTACAACATCCAGAAAGAGTCGACCCTGCACCTGGTCCTCCGTCTGAGGGGAGGCTGTTAATTATTCAGTCTTGCATTCATAATGCCCAGTAATGGCATCACCCTGCATTCTAGCTATTTGCCCCAATTTAAGATAGTTTCAGTAGTAGCTGAACTTGTTCAAAATGTTAATAAAGGTTTTATTGCATGGTAGCATATGTGGTGTCTGTTGTCCTGAAATCATGTAGTGATGGTGGGGACTCCTAACTGGTTAAAGTGGTGTTCGAAGAAGGCATTTAACTTGAGGTTGTCAGTATGACCAAAATTAAATCACTTGACTTTGATAAACATTGGGTGTGCCAAGGTGTAAGGACTTTGTCCTTTGTTCAAGATCATTTCCAGATTAGGATTCTGGTGTCAAAACCATTTCAAAGTGTTAAGAATTTAAAACTATTTGAATATGGAGGCATATTGAGAGAAAGCAAACTTAGGCGCCTGTGTGCCTCCACCTCAGATGGTGGTCCAGGCTGCTCAGTTGTGCTTTCAGTCTCGTGATGATTTGTTGACTATCCTTGTGCTTTTTTTTCTTTCTAGTGCATTACATTTAAGTGCTCAGCCTTAGATAATGATATAGAATCCTAATTCTGCTTTATGTGAACTGAGCCAAGAATAAAGTGGAGCCCTAGTCAGCAAAGGTGGAGAGACAAATTGCTTGAAAGAATTCCTAGGGCTTCCCTGGTGGCTCAGTGGTTGAGAATCTGCCTGCTAATGCAGAGGACACGGGTTTGAGCCCTGGTCAGGGAAGATCCCACATGCCGTGGAGCATCTGGGCCCGTGAGCCACAACTACTGAGCCTGCACGTCTGGAGCCTGTGCTCCACGAGAGGCCGTGATAGGCCCGCACACCGCGATGAAGAGTGGACCCCGCTTGCCACAACTAGAGAAAGCCCTCTCACAGAAACGATGACCCAGCACAGCAAAAATAAACTACCCCCAAAATCTTTAAAAAAAAAAAAAAAAGGGGGGGTATACTAACCTAAGGCAACTTGCTGACTTGGGTGTGTTAGGCAGCAAATTAAGGTGGTTCCTAACATAATTGATTCCTAATGACTAACAGCTTTGCCTCACTGTAAGGGTAAGATTGCTCCAGTAAAAGAGATTCTCTAATTCAGGTCGTGGTAAGAATCTTGTCTAAGCCCTACACAAGCAGTTTCTGTGCTGCCAAACCAATAAACACTAGGCAGTATGTTTCCAATACTGAGAAAACCGAGATAGAATCTTTGGGCATAAGGTACTCTATTTTTTAATTTATTTTTTTACAATACTTTTAAGTTCTCAACCTTTTCCCCCTTCACAGTCGACTCGCTGTAATGTAACTTCTGTGGTCATTCTCAACTTGGTACAAAACGGTGGTGAGGGGAGGGACGTGCAAGTAAGGGGGAGGAGTTGGAAGCCCTCCCAGTTATCTCAATTTTGCACTATGCTAGGGAAATAGCTCTTTTGGTACTAAAGCTGGTGTAACCACAAGAACAATGTTAGGGGTAAGAATCACTCAGAGGTGTGTTATAAAAATGTAGAAAGCCAAGCATTATGTCTAGAAATACACCTTTGATAACTCCAGGTGTACCAGAGAAGTGCTTGGTGCATAATTTTAGGAACTCTGCCCTAGCAGTAGCTTTTCTTAAACTTCTGTCCTAGAAATACTAAATTGGAATACTTACCTGGTTTTCTTGGTTAAGTTAGACACTGGAGGTAGCTCTTAATTTTAGATTGTTAATGCTTCAACTCCTTGGAGTGGTAAAAACTTGGCCGGGCCCGTGAGCCATGGCCGCTGGGCCTGCGCGTCCAGAGCCTGTGCTCCGCAGCGGGAGAGGCCACAACAGTGAGAGGCCCGCGTACCACACACACACACAAAAAAAGTAATGAAACATCAAGCCTTTAAAAAGCCTTCCTTAGACTTAAGGGAACACATTATATTCACTGTCAAATTGGAAGGTTATATCCTTCCCAGTCCCAGTGTTTTGACTTGCTCAAGGCCTGGTTTTTGTTACAGGCAAACCAAGGACTGGAATCCCAAGAGTCAACTCTGACATAGCTCAGAAAATTCATGAAGTTTTATTAGGTTCCTTGCCCCTCAAACTGCTGCTTGCAGGACGAGTGTTTTGCTGAATATTTAATAATTTAGGCCTTTTGCAGTAAAGCTGGGTTTTGAGGATTAAAAGTTCTTTCCTACACGTTACACTTAATAAACCTGAAAAATCATTTCACCTGAGTAAGTGAAGACTAGTGCTGCTTTGGGCGATAGGACTCGCACAATTGTGTTGGCCTTTCTCCCAAACCACTGACTTGACAGGCTCGCAGTTCTGCAGTCCTGTGAATCCCTTGAGTTAAGTTTTCAGCTGTTGCCCCAATTCTCTCAGGATCTCTTCCTGTCTGTAGGGATCCCTTAAGGTATTCATGGATCTCAGCAAACTCACTCTACACACCTGAAATCTGTGGATCTCAGCAAACTCACTCTACACACCTGAAATCTGAGCAAGGAAAAGTCTCTCTAAATGCGTTGGTCTATCAGTTGGTTTTGGAAGTCGGTTCTTCACTCTTGGCCTCAGACCTTGCTCTTCACTGAATCAAACCGGCCAACTGTGGTTTGCAGTTCCAGCTGACTCCTGTTGACTGAGGGGTCAGCAATGCAGTGGGGAAATGTGATTAGGAGTGAAACTTTGGGATGACCTAGAAAGGGATGGGAGAGTTCATAAAGATTTGTTCACGTATCTCAAGCCAAGAGAGTTCTCAGTCCTATCACCTACTCATCTCAACGTTCCTTGTCCAGTTAGCTTCTCATCCAACTGTCAGGAATATAGTTCTCAAGTCCAGTGTTGGTCCAAATGTTAAAGAGCCCATGGGAAGGAAGATACGTGTATATTCCGTTACAGCCCATGGTGCAAATACTTCAGCTGCCCTTCAAGGGAATGTCTCCCTGGACCTCTCCACCCCTTAGAACCTCAGAAACAATAACACAGAGGGATGCTTATGGGATCTTTGTGACTTGTTAGGCTGGTGTACAAAGTATATGTGGGTCAGTCTTGCAAATTATTTTAAACTTAATCTTGGACCTGTGCTATCTCAGGAAAGCAGAATCCCTGTGTTGACCAGAACTGCTTGTACTGTACATCATTACGTGCCCTGAGATGCCAGAGTTTGCAGAACAAGCTGCCACTTAACCACCCCCACTTGTAATCTTCACTGTTTCCCTTTTACTTAGGAATTTGATAAAAGAAGAGTTTCTGTTAATATATTTCCTGTTACCTTTACTGAAAGAATGCTCACACGTGTGTGCAAAGATGTGTTAAAAGAATACTTGCTTGGTATACTGAAAGCAGTGGTCCCAGGGGCTGGTCTGTAGCCTGCTGCCACTCCAAGATAAGTTTTTGCCAGTTCTCAGTGAAATGAAAAATACGAAAACGGCACAGTGGATTTTACATAAAATTAGGTCTATTCAATTTAAAAGATCATATGCCCTCAGTGTAAAAATGTCTAATGTAATGGTTCAGAGTGTTGCTCTGGAGACAGGACTACTTGAGTTCATATGTGGCTGCACCACTTACTGGCTTGTAACCTTGGGCAACTCATTTATCCTGTCAGTACATCAGATTCCTTACCTATAAAAGTGGGGTAGTTATACCTATCAGAGTAGTTATGAGGATCACATGTGAAGTACTTAAAACAATGGAAAAACTTGCCTAGTGCTGACAATGCTACTGTAATGACAAAATTGGGAACAAGCTAATCGCCCATCAAAGGGGAGTGGCTAAATGATGATAATGCAGTAGTTCAACAGAATGAAGGAGGTAGGAACTCATGGAACACCATTCAAGACAGTGAAAAATGCTAGAGAGAAAGGTGTGCGCATGTGCACAAGCACGCAGATGGGTGGGCCCCTGTGTGTGGCTTCAGGAGAGGAAAGGGCGCATTGTGAAGGGAGATGTATTTCAGCTTCTTTATCGCCACCCCCAGGCTTTCAGGAGGACTGAAGTCACTGACAACACAGCACCAGCAGTGTTCACAACACGTGGGCCCCTGTCCAAGGGCCAGCAAAGTCACTCCACCCTGAAGTCAGGCCGCACTCCCAAACTGCACAGAGTAGACTTATTTTGCACGAGTCTCTTTCATTTTCCATGGAAACTACATCTCACAAGACTTTCCGAACCTCAACAAGATTACTGAACCTCAACAAGCTTCATTTTATTTTTTTTAATTTTATTTATTTATTTTTATTTTTGGCTGCGTTGGGTCTTCATTGCTGTGCATGGGCTTTCTCTAGTTGTGTTGAGTGGGGCTACTCTTCATTGCGGTGCGTGGGCTTCTCATTGCGGTGGCTTCTCTTGTGGAGCACGGGCTCTAGGCGTGCAGGCTTCAGTAGTTGTGGCGCACGGGCTTAGTTACTCTGCAGCATGTGGGATCTTCCCGGACTAGGGCTCGAACCGGTGTCCCCTGCATTGGCAGGTGGATTCTTAACCACTGCGCCACCAGGGAAGTCCATCACAAGCCTCATTTTAGATACACTCTGCTCATTCCTCAAATAATCCGAAGGGGCAAGTAATGGCTGTCTTTCAATCAGGCCCAGCCAACTCCAAGTGGAAGCTTTAGATAAATGTTGATTTCTGGGAAAGGATCTTGCACTTAGTGCAACGATACTAACTGGGAAATAAGTTTTGAGATTTTCCTTTTTTTTTTTTTTGCGGTACACGGGCCTCTCACTGCCATGGCCCCTCCTGCTGCGGAGCACAGGCTCCGGACGCTCAGGCTCAGCGGCCATGGCCCACGGGCCCAGCTGCTCCACAGTATGTGGGATCTTCCCGGACCAGGACATGAACCCATGTCCCCTGCATCAGCAGGCAGACCCTCAACCACTGCACCACCAGGGAAGCCCAAGATTTTCCTTTTTTCATACTTTCTTGATCCCATCACCATCCTTATCTCCCCCTCTTTTTCGTGGCTATCAGAAGCTGAGTGTCACTCTCCAGCTAGTAGGTCTGTCAACGCCTATAATTTACTCTAGGACCTACTCCTCTAACCATGTTAACACCAGCACTCCTCTTAAGGAACACCTTTACCTTCACAAGTTTCTGATTATCAGTGTTTCCCAAACTCTGTCCTCCAAACATTACAACCACTGTGAAAGGATGCTGTGGTCACAGGAGCTCAGGAAGTTGTCTT